TTTAGGAAGAAGTGAAATTTCTTATGGCTTTTACCCATGTCTCTAACTCCCACCAAATGATTGGATGAGACCATGCAAATAGAATGTGTGAAATGCTAAGAAGGATTAGCGGGTATAAGGATGTGGCGTCTCAGAAGCAGAGAGGATTCTTGGGACCACCAAAGAAGAACCATTAGTGGAGGCTTGTTCGAGATAGGCCAAGACCAGGGGCAGCAGAGGCTGTAGCTCCGAGACCATGAAACAGCAAAGGAGCCAGGCTGAGACAAGGAGACCATGAGACAAAGCAGAGAAGCAGCGCTGAGCCGTTAAGGCCGACACAAAGCGGCCAATGGCTTCCTGGACCACAGAAGCCATGGCCGAGAGACCACTTGGCTGAGAGGCTGAGGACCAGAAAGAGACTTGGCTGCTGGCAGATGAAAGGCACCTCTGTAGACCACTATTGCTGTGGACCAATGACCGGCTTGTGGTAATGTCTTCCCTTCCCTTCTCTAATTGACCCCCATCACTGAGTGTTGTCTGGGAATTCTTTGGGGCCATCACAAGGGAGGTTCAAACCCAGCAGAAAGGGCAGTGTCGTGGCAGGGACAGTAGATGTCACGATGCAGGGTGGAGGCATACCTGCCTTGTGCCCTATGGCAATCAGCCTTGGGTTTGTGCGGAAGTGAATTCTCCTCCCATGGGTGGCCCGACGAGGTCTGATAACAGTCACTCACAAGGCCATGCTCACAGTTAGAAAAAGACCAAATACATAAAGATTTTCCTCCTCGAAAAATAAATATCTAATTATGCCAGTGTTTCTGTAGATTCCCTGAGAGCACACATTTTCCCTTGAGTTAGAAACATTTTTATTTGCATGCACCTTGATGTAAACACCGTCTCTTGTGGACACAAAAAAAACTGGGACTGCGCATGCAAAAACTATTTGCAGTGACGAGTGGACTCCTGGTCTCCCTCTTCCGATGAGGTGTGGGAACACACTGTGGAGCTGGGAGGAATGAAGCCACCCTTCTCTCATCGTTTCCACACTGCGCCCCGGCAGGGACATGGACACCACTGCTTGGGCTCCTTCCAGAGGGAGATGTCTACTCGTCTGCATTTCCTTTATGCAAAGACAATGGCGCCGGGTGAAATTACGGATAGAATGTGGGAACGTGAAATCCTGCTGTGAAATCTCAGGGTCTCCTTTCTTCTGTCTCAAAGGATGAATGAGCAGAGAGGTGTAAACTCATCCAAGGGCCACGATGAAAACAAGAACGGATGGAAATTCAACGTCTCTGGGAAGTGGCTGCTATTGTTTCTTGGCAAGAAGGTAATAAATCCTGAGAGCAAAAGACGTCAGCGTACTGAAAGTACAGAGTGGAAAGGAAAAGGCCCCAAAAGGATCTCCGTGAGTCCGATGTCAGAGAGAACTGCCCTTCATGCAGAGACACTGACAGGCCAAAGGACCCCTCGATGACCCGAATCCCTGGCCAAGTTCCAGCCACCTGATCACAGAGGTGCATTCCTGGCCCCTTGGCTTAGGCCATTGTGAAATCAAGACCAGTGGTCTGCCTTTCTGTTCTGACTCCGGGGGACCCCAGGAGTGTCACAGTGGAACTGGGCTCCATAGGCTTGTCCCATGGCTGG